AAGCCAAGGTTGAATGACATGCTTCAGAAATACATTTTAAAATATTTGGTTTAAGTAATGTGATGCCTTCGAAAATTGATCCCTTTTCGGAAGAAAATGTAACAGCCTTTTCTGACACAAAATATTCATACACTCAGGCCATAAAGATATGTTCAAATCGAAAATTTTAATTTTTAAGACGGCATATATCCTTGTACTTACTGTTGCGTATCTGCTTGTTTGTTAATCTCCCGTAGAAATTCTTTCCGAGAAACTTCAGCGATACAAGTCCTTTCTTAATTAAGACTATTTTATTCTTTCTCGATACAACTTTGCAATACACAGAATTTCACAGTCAATACGTTTGCAATCTCGATAACAAAACACACACTTTATATTACCGTCACTACCGCTCGCTTATCTGTCTCTATATCTATCTATCTGCAATTATATCTCCGCTTTATTTGCTGGGCTTACATATACTAAAAATAAGGGTGCCTGGAACAGACTAGAGTTGCCAGGAAAAGTCATGATCCTTCTAGAAACTTCAGCGCGCATGCTTCCAGCGTCGCGTGACTTCCGATGTCGTAACATTACTATAATTAGAAAACAAGGGAATGTGGATCAATTTTAGGCACAAAAACTATCCATAAATATACCTACAACAAGTCGTACTACAGCCGTGAAGAGATGGAACAAGTGAGAGAATACTCAGACACAAAGAAGGTCAATCCCAAAAGCCGCCAACATGCAACAGTACTCAACATAATTATGAAGTATCTCCAACTGGAAACAAAGCCAACAGGGTATAGGTTCACCAAGATAAGGCCTTCACTTATAACTCCTGTTCAACAGTTGCATACCTCATGCAGGTAGAGAATGAAATGGATATAATACCAATACATACCAATCAAGACACCACACACACAGCGCCTGTAGATTTCTGTGCGATCGAACTATTGAACCAGGCACTGGAAAACCGGACCTCGCACACTAGATTGAATATGGAAAGTTATACAAGAAGGAGTGGAGCGCTTGGATATAATAGCCTTAGAACGGAGTCTTTTGCAATCCAAACTACGCTAAAGAGCCATTGTCAAGATACACGATCGTCAGATAGAGCATGACCGTACGTGACGACGTAGATTGTAAGGACGTAGTGAGGCTCTAAAATTGTATTAATATAACGTACTCAACCATCTGTATAGAGTACTGATTTTCACAATAGCAAGAGATTCGAGGACCTAGCCCGTGGAAGAAAAATGTAGTGCTTTGCTATCAGTAATTAATATGATAGACAGATAGAGAAAAAACTCAATCATAGAATACAAATAAAAACAAACACTATTGACAAATAAAACAAGACGCCGAAACAAGCTATAACTGATAAAAATGCAATAATAATAAAACAATTAAAACTTAGTTAATAGGTCAGATGTGTTGAAAATAAAATTAAAACTAAACTGTTCTTGTTTTAAGTAAAACGGTGTAAAATAAAACTTACAGACTTAATAATTTAAAATAAATCTGTTCAACGGATTCTCCACAGATTGGGTTACCGTTGCAGAGCAGCTAGACAGAAGCCCTTATTAAGACCTACCAACATAGTC